TCTTAGGGGTAAGGAAACTCAGGGCTAGACAGGATGAATAACTTTCCCATCATTACAAGACTCATTAACAGAATATTATGACCTAAAAAATGGAGTGGTGACCTAGTCTGTGAACCATGTCAGAGACACAAATCGTCATAAGGAGCCCTTGGTAGGTACAAGAACATTGAACAATACCCTTGGGGTATAGTTGTTCAACTAAAACCAAGCATACATTATCCTCTGTTATATCCACAGGAACTGACATACTTGACAAAATCTAACAGAACTTAACCACTATCAGACAAGAAATAAAGTTGCCTTGGGTTGATTTGTTTTTTATTGAACCCTACTGGCTACCTGTAATAAACTACATCCATTTCCAAGTAATTAGTAAAAGTATTTATATAAGCCAGTGTATTTTCTAATTGCGATTTCTATAAATAATCCTTTTGAAAAATCACAACATTTTTCCACTCCATTCTTCTGATATTTCTATTTTTACTCAATAAAACAAAATGAGTAATATGGTGTTTTTTTGTTTATTTGTTTGTTTTGTTTTTTACATACTAGATTTGTTCACCAATACATGTCTAGTAACTAGCACAGTGTTGGGTGTGTCTTAAACACTCAGTAAATCCTTGTTGATGAAATGCATAAATGAATGACAGTATAGTTTATGATTACACAATTTTGGCTCCTTAGATTAGGACACACACCTGAAAATAACTAAAAAATCTAGAAACATAGCTAAACAACAATCAAGTCAAAAGACTGTTTAGAAAATGGGGAAAAAAATCTTTGATGCTATTGCTATAATTAGACACAGATGTGTAGTTTTAAATGATTTTATTGGAAAAAAGAATGAAGAATGAATAAGTGAATGAATGAATAAGTTAATGAACCAAGCATTTAACCTTAGAGAACACAGTGAAAGAAATAATGAGCAAAATATAAATTAGAATATAGAGAAAAATAATTTAAAATAAATTGAAAACTGATTGACAAAAAAAACAAGCATCTAACAAAATTTTATTACAAAAAGTGACAAATATTAGATATTTAATATCAGATCTAGAAAAAATAAATCTGTAGATAGAGAAGATAAACCAGGATGGTGTGAAGATCTGTATACCAGGAGTAGAAACGTTGGAGAGAATTTTTACAGATGTAATAAATATAATAATTGTATTTTAAAAGCTTCAGAAAGGTTGCAGAAATTAAATGAAAACAGGTCATGATTCTGGCTCTCAAGGAGACTTGGAAACCCTAGAAGCTCTTTCGGTAGAGTATGGGTCAGAAAGCCAGGCTGCAAGAGATCGAATGGGTGGTTAAGAGGCTAGAAAGACATAGCTAGGGTCACCCATTTTCAGAGTTTCAGAAACTGAACAAAAGGAGCCCAACAATGAAGTCAGATTAGAGTTGGGTTCTGGTACAGGTGTTCTGAAGAGATTTTTCGGTTTCAGAAAATGCCCCTGTTGCTACTGATTTAACTTGCTAAATGAGGTTGTGCCAAACAAAAGTAAGTTCTTCGTACAATTTTAAAACAATCTCCTAAATAGTACTTTTTTAATAACAGTAAGTAGACAATAGGAATGAAAGCCTTTTGTTATATAGAATTGGTTACTCATTAGATTTGGTATTCAGTGTTTTAACTCCAAATTCCTCTTGCTATTTATTTCAAGATTATTTACACATTGCACTCCATCTTTAATCCAATCCAGTCCCTGCTGTCCATCAGATCTCTGACAACTGCATTAGTTTTCGTTAATTTTCATTAATTTAGCACATATGACTTAATAGTACACATCGCAGCCATTAATAATTGTTGAAGGTTGTTTAGTATTTCGTCTGTAGAATGCTGCTACTCATATTTCAGATGTAAATTGAATAACTTTGGCATAAAAACTGACAGGCCTGAAAAAACAAACTATGGGCAGAATGCTTTCTCTAGAAGTACATGATTTTCAGTTGTTTATATTCTGAAAATACATAGTTGCTTACCTTCAACAGTTGTTTTGAGGGCCGGCCCAGTGGTGCACTGCTACAGTGCGCCGCTTGGGAGCATGGCAGCGCTCCTGCCGAGGGTTCAGATCCCACATACAGACCGGTTCCCGCTCACTGGCTGAGCGAGGGGCGGGCGCAGCACCAAGGGTTGCGATCCCGTTGCCAGTCCCGGTCCGGTACGGGCGCGACACTGAGGGTTGTGGTCCGTTGCCGGACACGAAAAAAGACAAAAAGGAAAAAAAAAAAAAACAGTTGTTTTGAGAAGAAAGTATTCTTCTGGAAGCTGTGGGAAGTAGATGAGGGATAAAGTGGTTAAAAACAAACAAAAAAATGTTCCAAAAAGGGAAACAGTGCTCATCCCCTTTTAAGAGCTAGTCAGATGAAAAATTGCTCAGCATGAGCATGATCTATATGTTTTTCATGGCTATTAGCAGTAATGAAGATGCATTAACCATATTCTCTTGATAATGCTCTAGCAGTTTCTTAGTACTTTTATCAACATATAAATTTTACAACTGGCAATATGGGAATTTGACTAGTACATTTTTGTGTATAAAAAAGGGTAACAACATTATAACTTCATATCTGTGAATTATGAATCTTGACTTGCAAACAAGCAAATGGAACAAAACTTTAATATCATAACAGCTCTTCGTTCTGCTACCGCTCACAAGAAATGGGAATGTATGTAGGTTGCTGAGTGGAATATAATGCCAGAGGTGAATGCCTACTTAATCCAGAATTTATGAGTTCTTTTCATTTCGTTCATTCTTTATTCTCGATAAAATGTATTCATGCCTTCTGTGTTGTAGTATCTGTAAATTGAGAATGCTCTACTTCATTAGGAAGCAGCTGAAAACTGAAAACAAGTGGTGTATAATCACTATTAGCCTTCTTTCCATTAGGAAATGTTTTTAATAATTTTTGTAAGGGCATTAAATAGATCAATTATTTAAAGGTGAAACGATGCAAAAGGAACCATTTGTTTTTTTTGTTTTTTTTCACAGTTCATTGAGTTATAAATGAATAGATCTTTCTTTTATGAAGCTGATTCTAGGTTTTGAATTTGATTTGTCCTATCTCCAAAGCAATGTAAGTCTTCAATACCTAGCCCATAACATCAGCTAGTACTATTAAAGAAAACATTATGGAAGGAAGAAGCATAGTGTTCTTTCCTTTTTTTATAGAACTATGGGTCGGTTCTATTTTAGGGCAATATCTGGCAATGCCACAGATATAGCTGTCATATGAAAAGTAGAAATACTATGTAAGTGCTGCCAGGTGGGTCTGGGAGAAGATGATAGTAAAATTTAAGTTAACTAAAATCAGATAAGTGGATCTCTCAAACTTGATTTTCAGTTTCCCATTTTATGAAAAATGGACAAAACGTGAGCAAAGATTTGGGCAATAAAAATACAAACCAGTATGGTCGTGGAGTTGGACTACCTTCTACAACTAAAGTAATTTGTAATCATAACTGGATTTCAAGATAAGAGCCCTGAGATACTGCAAGATTATGAATCCTCAGGGAAGTAATTGTTTCTTTAACAAATGTTTACTTGGTGCCCTTTAGTTATAACACAGGTGCTGGCAAACCGTGGAAGCCAAGAAAGTGTATGATAGGGAGAGGAACTGTTAAGGTATTTGATAGCTGCTGAGAGGTAGAGTAAAATAAGAAGGAACTTTTGGATCTGCATAACAAAAGTCATTGGTATCCTCAAGGAATGGTTTTAGGGCAATGGCAAAGAGGCCGCAACCAGAGCTAAGTGGACCAAAGCGGAAGGAGCATGTTAAGATACCTTGAAAAACACATGTTGTAAGTAGGGCAAGAAATGGAGTGATTACTAGAGAGGAACAAGGGAGAGGTGGTATGCACACATACACGCTCACTGTGGTTGTATACTCATGGGAATGATACAGTAGAGCTGCAGGAGCAACACTCTCAAAAGGTCAGAAGTGGGATTCAGAGGAGCCAGGGACTCTTCTACTGTAACAGGCGAAAAGACTTAGACTATAGGAAGACACAGCTACCATTTAATATTCATGAAGCATCGATGATGTGCTAGGCAATGGCAATAGAGCAGTTAATAAAAGAGACAAAAATCTTTGCTCTCATGAAACTTGTATCAGAATGGGGATTGGAGGAGGTAGACAAATGATAACCAAATAAATAAGTGAAATGTATAGTATGTCGGATGATGGGTACCTCGGGCAGGAGGTGAGAGTGGACTGCAAGTTTAATGAACTGGACACTTGATATAACCTTTACAGATTTAGCTCCTGACAACTCTCAGGCACATTTATTTTAACAATTAGGTTAAATTTGGCCAAATACCCATGTTCCAGGGCTGTGAGAATTCTACTGTCAGCCTTATTTCACAGGTGCTTTCTTCTGTGAACGTCCCAGGACTTGCCTAGCCCTGAAACGCCCCTTTATAGTCCACACCACAGGTTTTAAGCCTATATTTATTTGTGTGATTATTTGATTAATATATTTCTTCGCTACTATACTAGAAGCTCCAGGAGGGGGGAACTATGTCTGTTTTAGGTAATTGTATGCCTAGAGCCTACTACAATGTTGGCACATAATAGACCCTATTTTTTGAATGAAAAGTAATGACTGTTTTACAGAAGCTACATTTTTTTTTTCCTTTTTGTCTTTTTTCGTGACTGGCAATGGGATCGCAACCCTCAGTGTCGCGCCCACACCGCGCTCAACCAGTGAGCAGACCGGTCTCTATATGGGATCCGAACCCTCGGCGGGAGCGCCGCCGCACTCTACCAAGTGCGCCACTGGGCCGGCCCCTGGAAGCTACATTTTTAATAATCTCGTTATTTTATTATTTTATTCTTCTGTGTTCACTTTAAGTTTTCACTTCTCACTTTATATAGCTGATCTGGTAAATGGTCTTTTTTGAAGCGGACAGGGTATATTTTTGTACCAATGGAGTGTGTGAAATAGAGTCGTCCTCTAATTTAAGTAATGTCTCTCCACTTTTTTTTTTCTTTTACAGGAACAATGCCAAAGGTGCTCCCCTGAATATAAATAAGGTCTCTAATAGCCTGATTAATTTTGGAAGAAAGTTGATTTCCCCAGCAGTGGCCCCAGGAGGTGCGGGTGGCCCTGTACCAGGGGGCAACAGCAGTAGCTCCTCTTCTGCTGTGATTCCCACCAGGACCTCAGCAGAGGCCCAGAGGCATCATTCGCAACAACAGCAGCAGCAGCAGCAACAGCAACAGCGGCTGATGAAATCAGAAAGCATGCCAGTGCAATTGAACAAAGGTAGGAAAAAAATACTAGTAAATCCAAAGAAAACACTCACAGTGTAGCCTAGGATTTCCTCACATACCTGTGAGGAACCAACCTCCCAGAAGTAGAAACGGATGCAAAATTTAATTTTTAAAAATCTGTTATATTTCATCCTTAAGTTGAAATATCAGGTTCTGTATTGTTCTTAATTAAGAACAATATATGAGGTAATTTGTTAAGGTATTTTTTAAACATTTTTATCCTGGTGTACTTGCATTTTTGTCCTGTGGATGCCCGTACAGTGTGATGGCATGAATTTTCACAATGCAGAACTTGAGATCAGTTGACTATGTTCTCTGCTAACTTTGTATAGTAATGCTTTTGACTAGAAGAAAATATGAAATGGGAAGTTCCAGTACCATGGGCCTTCAGGGATGCAGTTTCTCTTCCAGCTGTTTCACCTCTAAGGAATATAAACTAGAATCTTAAGGGGGAAAAAAAAGCTAAACAAAATCTCAAGCTGCCAAAATAAGTGTCTGAGATTAAGCACTAAAAGTGAGAACCATAGAATGTTAGAGCACAGGGAACCTGGGAGATCATCCAGTCCACATATTTCATTAGATGAATGAAGGTACTGCTGTTGGTAGCACTCTTGCTGCTGGGACTCAGATAAGCTCATTTCTGTTGCAGTGAAAGCCGTTCCAGTGCTTCACCTCCCTCATACTATATTCATAAGAGAGCCCTTCAGGTTCTTACTCAGAACCTTTATATTCTTATTTTCCACTTCTTTTGAAGAGATGTAATTATTAGGTCCCCCTACTCATAGCAGATTAGGAACAGCTACATTTATTTTTAGTGGTGGGACTCTACTGACTATACTATAAAAGCAAGTAACATGATGGCACAAAATCTACAGAAAACTATCCTAAGACCTCACAAAGCATAGCAGTCTGGGGCTATTTAGTGTCAGAGCAAACATCCAGACCAAGCCTCATGTCTTAAAGGGATCCCTTTGTTATATCAGTGTTCAGCAGCTAGTGTTGACAATAACAAGAGTAATATTGTCAGTAAGAAGACTTTAAACTATGTTCCATATACTCTGTTTAAGAAGATTACTTCCAAAACTATTAAAAATTTCATGTATTGGCATTTAGGTTGGTAAACTTAAGTTAAATGGACTTTATTCCCCAATTATGCAAAATAATGAGTATTATTCAATATTGAGTGTGTGTGCATGTACATGTGTGCCTTTGTTCCTCCATTGGTTACATCGGGTTGTCTATCTTTTCTATATGTCTTTGTCTATATGAAATATTAGACTTTATATAATGAGTATTTAAATTTCCATTAGAATATTTAATTTACCTTACATGAGAATATCTCATTTAAAGTTATGTTATTTTCTTTTTAATGTAGAGCTGTCACACATGATTTAAAGAAAAGGAGACTTCAAGTTATTAACATGTTTTAGATGTATTTTAATGCCAGGAGACATGCCCACTTCCAAAATGGAAATGAATGTTATTTTATATATTTTTTAATTGTACTGTTTTATTGTTCTAAACAAATATGATTTCAATATTGCTTTGATAACAAGCTGTAGTCAGTTGTAATTCTGACTGATGGCAGGCAAATGAGTCAGAGAATCTCTTAATGCTGTAGCTTAAATTTTCTGAGGAACCAAGCCAAATGACTGTAGAAATATAAAGTTGTGTCTCTAAGGAAATGTCAAGTATTAATATCACAGTAAGTGAGAAAGGAAGTGATGGAAATGGAACAATTGATGAAAACTAAGTTCCCAGTTATAAGGAGACAACAGAGCACTTAAGCAAAGTATTTGGAACATGAGTATCACTAGGGCATTTCGTAACTGATCCCTGTGCTGAAAGAAAGTGGCCTTGTTTGGCAACTCTTCTATATTTTTATTTCTGGTTTGTTCTTCCAAAAGTCAGTCAACCAAAAAAGCTTATCTTTGTCCATATTAAAGATAAATGTCCCTGCTAATGCCCCTCCATATATAAAGGTTTCAGTAAAACAAAGGACAAAGAGAACACTTTATAGAAGCAGAAGAGTTTGATGCTCTTTCTTTATTTACCCATTGATGAACCCTAAGTGATACCCTGAAGCTCTCTGACCCTCTGTTTCCTCACCCTGAAACAAAGGTTTGGGCTGATCCCTAGGGAGTCTCCCAGCTCTAAAAATCTATGGTTCTTTTGCTGAAAGATAATATTTATCAACTCTATAGTGAAAATACCTCTCCAACATTGGTTCCTTATGCTGGTATTTCCCATAAGTATTCTGCTGTGCTGTTACACCAACAAATCTGTAAGTGTGTCACCTGGTCCCAGAGATTAGTGAACACAATATTTAGCCGTCAGGAGGCTTGTGTTGAGAAATGACTTCTAACTATCTCAGAACAGTGCCATCTACTTAGATGCCTTGGAGGAAAGATAATGTAATAGCCTTTTTAGTGTACTGTACTGGAAAATGTGAAAGGTGTTTTGAAAAACGGTTGTTTATGAAAAGAAAAATGCTATGGTTCTTATAGGTTAGTTAACTCTCAATTATTTGTGCTTAGGGGAACAGTTGTAAACCCAAACTCATGCATGTGTTGCTTGAAATATGTTCTGTAGTTTTGTTGAAGGTGGGATAGTGAAGGAAAATAGAAGCAGCACAGATGTTCCCTATAATTTTCTTGTTGATATTTAATATTAAAATGAGTTTCCAGTCTTAAATATACATTAATAGGTGATCCAGAAGCAGCAGAGTAAAATTGGTAGCAGGCATAGAATTGAAACTCTCCTTCAAATACACACAAAGTAGGCACACCATTTTTCAGTGAATTTAGAGTTAACTATATTATGAAAATTCAGGACCTGACTATTTCTGCTAAAAGCTGTTCATCACTTATTTGGGGTATGTTACTATTTATAGATTTTATTTCAGTTAGAGGAAAATGTAAATGCGTATACTGTTAATTAATGGGAATGATATAATTACAACCCAACAATTTCTAGATGAGCCGGCCATGTTGTAAACCATAATTGTAGCAAGTGGTCAGGACACTGAGTATATGTTATTTAATTCAAAAATTGTTTTTTGGTTTTTTTTTTTACTGCTGTATATATTATATAAAAGCTAAAGGGGAAGCAAGTCTATTCCAATTATCATACATAGAAAATATGGTGCCTTTTTAAAACACTCGTATAGTTTATTAATCTCAAAATAGCATAGGCCTTCAGATGGTGATATATCCAGAGGATTATTCTGTTGAAAGTGACTATGACCAATGTTGAACTTTGTCATCCAGGAATGAAATCAAAGAACCAAAAAGTCTTCCTTGTAAATTTAGTGCACCTCTAGTTCTTCACAGGATTTCCTCTTGTGCTCCTTTTCCTTTCTTTCCTGTGTTCTTCAGGTGCACTCTTTATTTCTTCCTATTTCCTTTGACTATATTTTTTATTGCTTTTTGAATTTGAATACTGTTTATTTTAAGCATTTACTACAGGTCCAATTTGTAAATGAAACCTTGCCTATATCAAGTTAAGGGTTCACAGATTTATTTTTATATGTTGACATTTATAAGTATGGTAACTTATGAAGCCTTTCCATTACTTAATGTGAAATTAAAACTTATTTAGGTCTTTATTTTATCGCTGAAGTAGGTTTCAACTTTAGTTAAAAATAAATTTTGTCTGGTATGGGAGGAAATCAGTTTCAAAAGAATGCCTGTTCCTTAATAAATGACATAACTTTTGGATATAAAAATTTTTTCAAAAGGAAAAAATATATTTTATGAATATTTGTAGCATCATGAAATCTGCTCAGCAAAATCTTTTGATTGCTTAAGTTTTCTATATTCTAAATTAGTATAAATTTGTTTTCCTAAGGAAAAACAAAGAAAAACTTGTTTTCCTAAAAGGTAAATAAACAAACTTCTAAGGAAACACTCTTCTAAAAAATTATTTTCCTTAAAAACATTTTTTATTGATTTTTCTAAGCTTGTGCTGTATTTTCTGTTGTACTATATTTTTAATAATTTGATAAGAGTATTACAACACTGAATATGCAATAAAAGTTGATTATTTCCTTTTTATGAAATCTAATTATTTTTTCTTATGAAATCCAGGCGATATAGTTACAGGAAGCGATGCTCAGGTTTCTGTTCCTGTCCAGACTCTAATTGACCTCCAAGGTACAGTTACCGTAGCAATGTAGTGTCTCTCTCCCTACAGTATTATCATTGCCCACTTCAAAACTCCATTTTTCCTTTTGCCCACCCTCCATTCATACTGTTTATCGGTTCACTACCACTGTTCAGCCACTGAGTGGCACTGTTGTTTAGAACAAAAGTCCCCTCTCGTGTTGTACCTTGGTGATGCCAAATCTGGTTATGATGTGGGTTTTCTATTAATTGTGTACAAGCTTCTTTCCTTGCAAAATATGATTCGCCCTATATTTTGTGGTTATTTTAACACTACACTTTATGTGACAGCTCATACCAAGGTATTCTTTTTGTTGCATTGGTGTTCTGTGACAGAAGTTGACCAATTAGTTCTGAGATTAGACAATTTATATGCTATGATTAGGCAGAGGTAGATATTTTACCTAAAAGAATCACAACGTGATTTTGAAATGTTTTTAAGTACAGCCATTGCATTAAGAATTACATTAACACAAACTATGGTGTGGCAAATCTCTGTGCACAGTAACTGGCACTGGTTTAAAATAAAGAGAACATTTTAATATCATATCCATTTGTTCAAAATATAGAAAAACAGAGTTTATTTAAGAAATACAAAAAAGTGGTAATCCATATTCAACAACTCCTGTGGAATTTTAAAACATATAAATATTTAAAGTTGCCACATTAATCTTTTATTATGCAATCTTTTAGATGAAATATGCCATAGAGAGCATTTCTGTGTTAAATGGAAGCCTAGACTAACTTTAAGAATCTTCAATTCAAATTCAGACTAATGATAGCAGTATTAATTTAAATTTATATCATGTTTTCCTTAATTTAAAATATCCACATAATATAGTCATGCTAGTAAGTAGTAGTAGTAATATTAAAATACTGTTTTAATAATGATATGTCCTCATAATATCCATGTTTTTAAATAAATTAACAGAAGAAAATGGATTGTGATTAAGAGATGATTGATGTATTGGCTTGCAAAAAAAAAAACCCCACACTACGGCAATAGAGGAATGTGCTCTCACTTCTATATATACTTCTGTGTTTCATAGGTTAAGTTTCTGGCTGTATTCTGGTAATTAAACCAGATGACCTTTAGGTGCTTTTCTTACTCTGGGATTTCATGAAGAACTGTTTATTCTTCTTAGTGTCTGTTAAGTGATCTATATAATAAAAGGGTTTGGTAGCATGGGCAATAAAAAAGGCAGGTAATCTCTACATAATTTCTCTTGAGCCTTGTCAGTTATTGAACTTAGATGAATACTAATGTGATAATCTGATATGGTGAGAATTCAGAGGACTGAAATTTGTTTCCTAAAATTAACCCTGCAGACAACTTTTGAACAAGTGTTTTGTTATCCCACAGTTAATTGCTGCAGAGTAGGTCTTTGGCTTCTCTGCAAGACATGGGCTATGGAGCCCAATTTATACCTATGAAAAGAGAAAGCTGAGGGTTGGCTTGCTTATTCTGACTTCTGCTTCTATGCTAGTGCTCAGTCCATTTTTTCTTACAGATCAGAGCCACATAGGCAATGTTACTTTTTAAATAAAACTTTGAAGAAGGTTATATCATTTTGTTCAAATAACTTGTGTTATGTAAACAGAATCATCTCATTCATTTATTCAACAAGTATTTATTGAGTGCCTACTGTGTGCCAAACTCTGTTTTCATTGGCCCCTTGGCTTTCCCTACAGCTTTACTAGGTTGGTTGGCCATTACCTTTGCTTTGGATGACCCAGTCAAGCCTACGCAGTCAGGAACCAACTCTTTTCTCTGGATACCCTGTTCAGAATTTTCTCTGTCTCCCACACTCTGACAGAGATTATGTCAGACTGATGAGGAAGGTTCCAGCTACTTTTTAAGATATGAGTTGCAAATAAATAGCTTTCAATCTATGGTGGTGATTCTGACGATGAGACAGTGAGATGACACTTGCCCTGATAGGAAGTTACTTTGTGTTTTCTGCAACATACTTCCTAAAGAGTGCCAAGAAGCAAGGGGAAGTAGAAGTAAACCAAAATATTGGTGGCAACGAAAAATTTTCTGTCAATGCTAAGTAGGGTCAGGAATATTAGAAGTTGAAGAATTTCATCAGAGGTACCAAACCTACTTTAGTCCCCTAAATAATATTTCAGTAGTAGAATTTTTTTTAATTTCAGGGAAATTAAACTATTATTTAGACTTTCCCTAGTGTCTTTTTTCAAAGTAATGAAATAAATTTCAAGAAATGAAGTAAATATCAGCGGTTTCAATGGTTCCTTGATTATATAGTCCTTTTTTTAAAAAATGAGATTTCATATCTGTATCTGCCTTTTAACACACAGTAGTTATATGGGTTTTAACTTTTTAGGGAAAAACTGAATATAAAGTAAGATGTCACTATTTAGGGCAATAAGTAATTTTTAGAAAACTATTGAAAAGTTTCATTTTATATCTAGCAGTATAGGTTGCAATCACACACACACACACACACACACACACACACAAAGTGGTATGGCAGAATTTGTTTTTCAAAGACTTAACTCAATAGGTTTCTTCAAAATTAGTTTTGGAAATTGCATACCTACCCCCAGAAACCTTTGTCAAGAGATACTTAGGAATTTATACATAAATCAGAAAGCTTTAAAACATAGGAATACATACACAACACACACATATTATTTTCAAAGAAAATTAAGAATTTATAACAACAGAGGTATTTAAGTATTATGTAGTGGACCATTAGGAAGGAAATTTAGATTTCTTTAGTAATTGCCAGAGGCATCTTTAAAATTTATACTCGTATGTATTTATGTTATGAATATGAATACATACACATATACACACAGAAGTATCATTATAACACTTTTCAGAGTGTTTTTAAATGTAGAAGGGGGGGAGGTCAAAAATCTCCCTGCCTGGGTAACCACTGTTTTTATATTCTCAAGGTAAGACTAAAACACATATAACATCAGATAATCCCAGTTAATTAAATGTATTAAATGAAAAATGGGGGGGGGGGCCTTCATTTTCTTCCTCCACCTATTTCTGCCAGTCCTTTTCCTCAAGAGTAATAATCATGGTTTAATTTCTTGTGATTCCTTCCAGGAAAAAAAAGTAATAATTTGAGGAGTAATGTGGAAGTCACATTAATGTGATAAGAGCTCACTTGTCTGGAGATACCTTCCCCTCTGGACTGTCAAGAAGAAAGCACTAACAGAAATGTCCCAGTGCAGATGACAAGAAGCAAATTGGTAGGACAAAGAGAAGGAGGTCAAGTCAACTAGAGTAGGACAGAGTAATGACAAGAAAAAGAAACATCTACTCAAAACAGTGAGGGAAGAGACCGAAAAATCGAGAAATGATCCTCGTGGATGGCACTATATTGACCACTCCAGTTGTTGAGAAATGTTAGTCCTGAAGCAGAACAAACAGTTCCATTATGTTCAGCACAGTCACTTTGAGGCACAAAAATATGTACGTAATATTAGCTAGAAAATTATCTAGAAAACTCATTTGTATGGAACACTTATTCCGAAAGACATTGAATAAATGAGTTGTTTTTGGACTGAGAACAAGGTCAGAGTTTGGCCTTTACTTTCAAAGGCCTCATTACACTTTTCTTTTATCTAATTTTGGGTCATATTTGCTGCAGTGCACTTGGCACAGCCCTTATTTAGGGAAGCAAGGTGATGCAGCTTTGCCCAGCACAGGCTCTGGAGCCGGGCCTAGGTTTGAGTTCTGGCTCTATCGCTGCCTTGCTGGGTGACCTGGGGAGGTTACTTAACCTGTTATTTGTAAAGAGAGAATGAGAGCAGCTACTTCAAGGGTGGTTATAGGATGTTATCACAGCACTTGTCCCATAGTGAGGGCTTTTGGGTGCTGCTTGCTCATAGTGGTGATGGTGGTGATTGTAGCACCATTTTGTGTTTTCCTGAAACACCTCTCTGGTCTTCAGAATCAAATTATAAAGGAGCCCACTCAACACTTCTATCTTTTCTTTTCTTAATTATTACTTCTGATATTCTAAAAACACATGTTTGCGTACCCGGTCCAAGAGTGCTCGACCGGGCTAGAGCACATCTATTTCAGGGGTTTCACGTATAATCTGCTTCCCTTCACTCTCTCGTGGCACAAAGATATGTCTTTAATGAGTAGACATCAGCCTTCTTGCTCTCTGTCACTCAAGTCTGTGAGGTAACAAACTGTAATTAAATAGGGGCCAGATGCCTCTTGCTTTCTCCTGGTCACTGTATATAGTAAAATTAAGGTGATCCCCTTTCTGTGGCCACAGCACTGGTGTCCTTAGGCTTTTCCCTTTCTGCTCTTCTGGGATGTGCCTTCCCACCAAGAGCCCCTCCAAACTTCCTAGCCTCCTGATAATTTGCCTTTGGGTGTCCAGTGTCCAACACCCTTAGCTGATCTCAGGTCTTTTGGGGTTCTGCCTGTCCATTTAGGAATACACTCAGCCTGTGTTCTTATTTCTCATTAATGAGACAAGAGCCATGAAAATATTATTCATGGGACATAGTAAGAGCTTAATGAATATTATTTCCCCATCCTTTTTCCTTCTCTCCCAGCCTTTTTGTAGTCAGAGCTCCTTACTGATGCCTGTGAAGCTCATTCAGTCAGCTTAGGCTCTTAACAGATAACCTCCACTGATGTGGAGCACAATGGGACACTGAGTGTTTCAGAGAGAGAAAGAGAATGAGAGATACAATATACATAGACATAGCCAAGTGTAGTCCAAACAATACCTTTGTGAAATTTAGAGAAAAAGATAACTCTTCTATGCAGACACAGCTCACAGCAGGGCACATGACTTTGACAAGCAGTACTTTGCCTAGATTTCAGTGCCTCTGCCAGGCATTCTTGTGTGGGGCATGTATGGTGGTCCTATGCCTAGAGTCAGTTAACTGAAGTCTGGGAGATCACTGAAAAGTGCAGCCAGTGTCCCATGTGGAGAACAGTCCCACTAAGAGAGGGCCTGCAGTCTGTAACCCAGAGTACTATG